AAAATAAATAAATAAAGGTAGTGTACATTGTTTCTAAAGGGGGGGGGGGGGTAACGCAGTGTGAAAAGCGGCATTGTGATAGAGCGGACTGGGCACATGAAGCCTTGTCATAACAGATTACCTAATGTGTTTTGCAGGGTCTGTTGTCAACTGCAATACCCTGCATTCAGTGCATTGTTCTGGTGTCTTCCTGCTTTTTTTCCCTCTGCTCTTGCAGTAGGAAGAGAAAAAGTACGTGATCAGCCTTCTGAGAAGAAACTGAGAATTCATTAGGACAAACATAGTGCCTTCCCCTACAGTTTCCGTAATTGTTCGTTTAATTGACGAAGAAGCCCATCTGGTGACATTAACAGAAAGTTGGTTATTTGTCTGAGTCGATGACGATGAAATGGATTCTGGTGTGAAAGGTCACGTCTCCTGGCTAGACAAACCAATCTACCTGCCCTGAAAGTTTCAATATTTCTTGGCAGCAGGAAGAGTATCGAATTGCCCTGTGGATTTTGTTTTAATTAAAGGCCCAAAGGCATCTCCCTGACCAGACGTGAAAGTGCACTGTATCCAAGGGTCTAATCAAGATACCACATGGTGGTTTCTGTTTTGGATATGTTGTATGTCCTGTGTTGTGGCTGCAACGAGCTCAGCTGTTTGTCAAATGTGCACAGCAGTGCTCAGACACTACTTTTAGCCTCCAGCTTTGAGCTTCATCCAATGACAACTCTGTCACCTGTGCCGCAGCCCTGGCAACCAAGCCATCACACTCTCTCTGCTAAAGACACTGGATACAGCTTGCAGAGTGTTTCTCTGGCCACCCCAGCATATTTCCCATCCACTCGTTTCTGCTCCCTATCTGAGACCGAGCAACCATGTTACTGTTGATGTGGCATCAATGCAGAAACCATCGGATAACTGCATGCACAAATTGTGACACAGGTGTGCAGTTGTAATGTTGTATGGAGGTACTCAGCAGTCGAGCTGCAATGGCGTTAGTTTCTCCCTTGACAATCGGATAGCATAAAGCTAACCCATGGTTAGGCAAGATTAAAATACTGTATGTATTTCTCATACCTGTATAATACAACACAATTGATAATTATTATTTCTTTGATAATATGGTAAATTATAACCCGCTTAGATTTATTGTTACTAATGTAACTGCCTTTTGAAAGGAATCTGATATCTTATGGTCCCATAATTTAATATAAAATGAAAAAGATACACATCGTTGGAGCTGTTTGTTACTGTTGGTGTGTGTTGAGTAGAAAATAGCAGCCCTGTGAGGGAATAGATGAAATAGTATCTTCAGAACTCAGCTGTTACATCACACTGCTGCCCATATACATACAGAGGAAAGCCATTAAAATTCCTGTCTGGCTGAAAGAAGCACACATGGGTAATCACGATTCTATTGTTTCTCTGAGTGCCTCTGTAGTTCATCCACTTGTTTCCCTTTGCATGTCATACATGCATTTATTTAGCCACTTCTTGGCCTTCCTGCAATCACGGGCAGGCATCGATCAGTGTTTATCAGGTTCTTACAGATTTACTGGAAGAGAGAGGATGCTCAGCCATTTTACACTCTGCTTCCCTGCTTGTCTCAGGTGAACGGGGGCTAGTTTGTAGGACCCATCTGGTGCTCCGAGACCTCCTAACATCCTAATTACTGAGAGTTGTCTCTGCTTTCCTGACCGGATTATAGGCCCCATGTTGAACGTTAGAGTACAAAATGTCTGCCGGTTATAACCAGCTGTGTGATGTTATTTAGATAGAAGGATCTGGTTAGTTAAAACCGGAGAGCTCCTGTGGAGTTTCGCTGTCAGTCCTATATTCTGGAGAACAGGAAGTGAAAAGACAATGCTGGATCATTGAGTAAAAACAAATATTTGGATTTTTGTGTGTGTTGGTGATAATACTATAATAAAACAGTCCAGTATGTTGCTCTTTTGCTGATAATGTTTTTTAAAGATTATTTTGGTGCTTTTGAATGATGGTAAAAACATAGCCAGGAAAGCGGGAGGGGTTGATATTCAAAAAACTTCCTCAGTGTTGTGATATGCAGGGAATAAATGCATACCTTCTGTCACACTTTGATAGTGTTTGTCTTTTGTGCTTCATTTTCTATTTACAACGTATTGAAAAGGTTTTTTGTCCAGTAAAAGTCATTTCTATTATTGCCTGTGGAGTCTGACATGATAAGTAGCTTAATGTCTTAGTTACAAATCCTAAAGCTTTTCACACAGTGCCTTAATGTGTATTTAAGGATTTTTAAAGGATTTGAATCCTGAAATTACTCCTGAATAAATAGTTTATATATCCACAGTAATGGGAGATGCTTGAGGCAGGAGAGGACAGAACGCAGTGTGCCGCATCTTCCCCTCCTGTGCCAAGTTGAGGTTGTTATGGCAACCACAATCTGTTCCTATACCTGTTACCATGGTTGAGAAAGACGGAGTGATGACGTTGTTTATTAGGCAGCAGAATGCCTCTGCCATTTGACGTCCAGGATGTGACTCTGGTCTGGTGGGAATATTTACTATAAATGGAAAACAGAGGAAGTCCTCATTGGTTAAACTGCATGTATAAAAATGTAAAAATGAGTGTAATAAGAATTTCCCCCTGGTGGGATTAATAAAGGAAATTTAATCTTAATCTTAATTGACACCTGTGTGCATTAGACTAATAATATCTGTGCTTCAAATTGATTCTGTTTGAATGTGTGATCTACATGTGAAAGTGTAGAAGGTGAAATCAATGACTGATGTCCAATATTACGCAGCCTGTTAAATGCAGTCATTTTGCTCTTTCATTTAACCTCACTGTTTTGCATAAACGGTATGAACACGGAATTGACTTCCTTTATCCCCGCAAGTGGGGAGGTAATTAAGATCCAAGGATGACATGGTTGAAGCAGCTATCTGTTATGAGAGCAATCGAGTGGGCATTTGAATGAGAAAATCATGGCACGTCATGAGCATGATTCACCTTAAGCAGTTGAGCGGTCTCCCACTTTCTGCCACCATGTAGTTGATGTTTCTAGATACACCATCACATCCACCCCTGTCTCTGACGATAGACCTCAACCAATCAGGAAATGGACAGACTCAGAGATTAGAAAGCTCTCATCCTGTCTGTTCTTGCTTGCACACAGCTGTGATTCCCAGTAAAGCCAGTTTGTCACAGTCAGTCCACTGTCTCATCATCTTTCTGTTTTTACTGCTAAGTTGCCTGATCAACAGTGAATCAGAGCTTAGGCTGCCCCTTCATTAATAGCCACAGTAGATTATTCCTGGAAAGGAGAATAGAGGGTCACTGGTAACGTAAATCCCCCTTCAGTTCTTCATGCCCTGGCTCCAATTTCCCTTTGGAGGCAGGTCAAAGGTGAAATTGGGCTTTATATAGCCACCTGTCCTGCTGTATCTTCTTCCAGTGCCCATTATGGAAGCTTCTGCTCTGCCTGTGCACCTTAACCTGTTATAGGTCTGTTTGTAGGGATCTGAAAAATGTATTGTTTTAACCTGTGCTAGGTTGTAGCTACATAAGTTTCATTACAATGACAGTTGGTATAATCTTCACATATTTAGCATGAAGCCGTTAGTGCTCTGCTGTCTGAGAACACGTTGTGCTTTTCTTTCAGCATGTGACCCATGGAGGGCGATATGCAATCCCTGTCTCTCCACATCTCCTGCATTATTGATAAGTGTGCTGAAATCCTCTGAACGCACAAGGCACTCAGCCCAGGACATCTTGATGCAAAAGCCACTCAAGCACCCTCATGTTGAGCAGGCAGACCTGGCTTTAATTTGCCCATTAGCTGAGCATAGAATAGCATGAAACAAAGCTAATGGCTGCTTTGTGTCTGACTCTTGAGATTTGCTTGTGAAAGTGAAAATGCTCTAGCTACAGATTATAATGTTCTTGCTTAAAATACAGATGCACAGTTTTACTTTGGCCCTGCCTTTCCTGTCTGTTGTTGCACTGTTTGGATTGTCGCTATGCCCTTGAGCGCACCTCCATTACCTTTAGTCCCTCAAGCCATTTTTTTAGCAAAGTCTTGAGCTAACTCTCCCCATGTGCCCTGAATCAAAGCAGCTTAGGTCAATAAAAGCTTGGTTAAGGATGGATTATACGAGAAACATCTACAAATATCCTACAGTGATTTTTCATTCTCATACGTCACTTATCCAGTGCATGGTATGGAAAACTTCTACACTAGTCCCAGGGTACCAGCAAGTATTGTTGACAGGCATGACATGCCAGGCATGGCTGCAGAGTCTTGCTCATTAAGAAATGTCTGTGTGGTCTCAAGGAATGGTGAAGAAATATTGTGTCATCATCTCTATTGCAGATAAACAGGGGAACGTGATGTATTAGTAGGAGGCTACAATGTTACTACTCAAACTCCACTTTCTCTGTCATTTTGCTGTGTTGTCAGTGCTCATGATGAATTAAAATGCTGGATAAAGATCTTGTGTTTGGTAAAACTTGACACAGCAGTTGCAGTTCTCAAAAATAGTGAATGGCTCATCGTCCACCACTGGTTCATGTGACCCTGAGTTCCAAATATATCACTGTTGTTTCTCTGATTGAGGAACTAAAAGTGTTTTTCAGGACTTGAAGAAATATATGAATGGGAGTTTTGTTGGTTGTTACTGACCTTAAATCATCTAACTAGGTTAAGAGTAATAAAAGCAAATTGGCAAGCAAGAGAAAGAAAATTTGCAAAAAAATGGAAAACAAAGTCAGTTTCAGTGAGCATGTAAAGCAATCACAAGACCAGGAGAAAAACTTCAGTTTCAGTGACTTGTTTGTTTAAAGATCCCCTGCTATAATCCAGACTGGCAGCAACAAAGATGCTTTTGGTAGATAGTTAATTGTGGTGGAAGGAAAACTTAAAAATGTATTCAGTAGATGACAGACGATGATTTTAATATAAAACTACAAGAACATAGGAGTAACTGTTAGACGTTATCAACCTCATTACTAATTTTGTTCCTCCTCCACAGCTATTCTCAACCCCAAAGCCCCAAAGGAACCCGCAAAGACGTTCAGTTTCGATTACTCATACTGGTCACACACTACGGTGAGTTTGAACATTTTCTCTTTTCCACTAACAAATGAGAGTGTGTTAGTTTGAAATACCATGAATTGATTCTGTTAGTAACCTCTCTGTCTTCTGTACAGCCGGAAGACCCCAGCTTTGCGTCACAGAACCTTGTGTTCAACGATATTGGCAAAGAAATGCTGCAGCACGCTTTTGAGGGCTACAATGTTTGCATCTTTGCTTACGGCCAGACAGGAGCTGGCAAATCCTACACAATGATGGGCAAGCAAGAGGAGGGCCAGGAAGGAATCATTCCCATGGTTTGTTCTACAACACATCTTTTTGATTTACTGAATTACATCACAGAGATTAAGACACTGACTTTGCACACTGTATTTTATGTACTATTAAAGTAGCTCCTGTCTTGTAGTCTCTAGTGTTTATTAGTCTCATTCACTTAGATGATTGAATTGAATGAATGTTTAACACAACCCCCGAGTCATAGTCTCAGTCAGTTTTTATAAAGCACAAATAAAAGTCTACCAGTTAAACAAAATGATAAAACTGAAGCTCCACTTATTTGTATACCTTCTACTTCTGATTGTAGTTATAATGAAAAATGAAAATGAAAAATAAAAAGTGTTGCATGGTCCAGATTAAAGCTCAAGATTCACTGTTGTACCAAACATGCCCTCGACCACCAAGACAATTTGACTTTATTGCTCTGATAGACATTATAATGGCATTACAAATTTTGTATTTTGGTCATCACAGTGTTCAGTGCTTGAGTCTCCCCTGCCAAACATATTGATAACCTGTACAGATCCTGTTTTGGTTTATTTGGTCAGCAGATCTCCTTCCTAATGTTCTTGCCTCTCACATCTCCACTTGCTCTTAATTTGCAATAACCTGTCTTCTGTTTTTTGCCTCCCAGCTTTGTGAAGATCTATTCGAGAAAATCAATGATGACTGCAACAAAGATGAGCTCTCTTACTCAGTGGAGGTGAGTCTCCGACTGTTTTACCATCTGTAATCTCTCATTGTCGAGCCAGTGTATCGGCATAAACCTCTGGTAAAGCTCAGACATCAATAAAAGGGTCAAAGATGCTGAGTTTCCTCAACAGTTTAATCTGACTATTTCGTTTATTTATGCACATGGGATTCTATGGTAGATAGGCTGTTAGAATAAGAACATGTTAGAAATACCCGTTTTACGTTATTCAGCCTTGGGTTATTGCTTTGTATCGTTGCCATGGTGCTACTTGACCAAATATTTCAAAACCTTCTTTTAACCTTTTTCTAGGTTAGTTACATGGAGATCTACTGTGAACGGGTGCGAGACTTGCTCAATCCCAAAAACAAAGGGAACCTACGAGTGCGAGAACACCCTCTACTTGGCCCCTACGTGGAGGACCTGTCCAAGCTGGCCGTCACCTCCTACACAGACATCGCTGACCTGATGGATGCAGGCAACAAGGCCAGGTAAGCTCAGCCCTGAAATCACTCTCAGATTGTGGGAAGGGAGGGGAGTTATAGTGGCATTGAAGACTGTAATGAAATGATAACCTACACTTGCAGAAGAAGGAGATCATTTAGATCAAAAAGTGCTGCTGAGATAAAAAATAATTTGGATCATCAGATTTATCTCTGTTTCTCCATTTCTCAGTGAAATATGTTTTAAAGCTTGAGTGCATGTAATTTATACACGCGTGTGTGTGTCTGTGTGTGCGTAAATCACGAGAGCTCCTGCAGGGAGGAGTCAACCCTGCCTTAATCTTCCTGTGCTGACTCAGAAGGCTTATTTCTAGAACATGGCATGTAAAGCCCGTATCTCCCCTCTGACTATTCTGCTGAGCGAGCTTTGTGCATTTGAGTTTGGTGTCCTCAAAGTATTATCCACCGCCGCCACACAAAGTAATCCCATAGACCCAATTCACCCTAATAGACGTAAAATCCAGGGATGATAACTCCAGTAATAGCCAAAACCATGAATTTAGCGTTAATAATTCTGAATAATTATAAAAGGGGAAAAAAATGTATAAGTGCTCAGTTTGTAACATTCACATGCGTTTTGTAATTTCCCTAACTAACTATGGTCATGTGTGCTAACCTGCAGAACTGTGGCCGCCACCAACATGAATGAAACCAGCAGCAGGTCCCACGCTGTCTTCACCATCGTCTTCACACAGAAGAAACACGACAGTGAGACAGACCTCTCCACAGAAAAGGTCAGAGGAAACTAGAGAGACAGAAACCTTCTGATTCTTAAATTTATACTGTGAACTCTTCAGATACAACCATGTTTATTACTTAAGACTCTGATCCCACTCTGTTGGGAGGTTATTTTTCTCACAGCTTATTTTTCAGTTTGCTTCTTTGATGTTGGCTAAGATTTCTCCTGTGGTTCTCTAAGTTGGTGGTGATTGGACTTTTGGCCTTTCCTTTGACTGCAGAGAGACAAAGACCACTGTGTTATTGTGAACACAATGCCCATTGTATTTAGCTACACTATCTGATTTTACTGCCTGGCTGTGGGATTCTTGACAGTAACATTTAGAATGGTTTTCACTTCCTTTCAGATATTTTTGTCTGGTTTAGTCAAAAGCTTATGTGTGGTATTTCGTGCAGTCGTTGTTTCAGTAATATCCTCTGAGTTCCTCTCTCAGTATGTTATAATTCAAATGTGCATTATTTATAAGCATCCAAAATACATTCACTCCCTCCCTTCAGGTCAGTAAAATTAGTCTGGTAGACTTGGCGGGTAGCGAACGAGCAGATTCCACTGGAGCTAAAGGCACCAGGCTAAAGGTAAGACTGCCATCATCACCCAGCAGTTGTATTAAACAATGTTGACTAGTATCACCTTAATGGCTGTTGAATAATATTTTTTTGTCCATGTTTGCAGGAGGGAGCAAACATCAACAAATCTCTCACCACGTTAGGGAAGGTAATCTCTGCCTTGGCTGAAGTGGTAAGTATTTTCTTTCTTTTTCTTTCTTTCACCTCCTCCTCCTTTTCCACCTATCTCTAACCTCTACAACATGACCCTGTCCTCTCATGGAGTTTATGTTTTTCAGCCTGGCATGCTGTAATGTATGCCCCTCTGTTCTCTCTTCTCTTGCCCTTGTAAATGCTTGCTTACGCAGGATAACTGCACCAGCAAGGTAAACCGTTTGACAGCTCAACCCCTAACCTCTTATTCCTCCCATGAGGCAGATTTGACAGCCTTTTGCTATGAACAATGTTGAAGTTAACACACATTTTCTTGCATTACCATTTTATCACATTAAGTACTGTGCTTTTTTGGCACCATACACAGTAAAATCCTTGCACAATAGCAAAAGCGCATCAAACAGGCCTGTTCTCATTTTACCTGATCACTTATCCATTAGATGAAGAATTTGTTATATTGCACTGTCTTTATAATCATCCCTAATATTCAATTTCTAGATAGAAAGCCTTATATCCATTGTCAGTATTTTTTTCTATCAGCTAAATGAATGTTTTCTTTACTGCAGAGCAAGAAGAAGAAGAAGAGTGACTTCATCCCTTACAGAGACTCTGTTCTGACATGGCTGCTGAGGGAGAATCTGGGTATGACTTCTAACATCATCTGATAAACATAATTTACTTGTGACAAATTATAAAATTTATGTTTGTACATTCCCTGGACAGCAAGAAAATGTTTTTACCATCTGTATCCTGTGATAGGCATTAAGAGCAAGAAAGGATTATTGGAGCTAGTGTACATTACTCCTAGCCAATTTAAGAAGAACACTGTCAGCAGACTGTATTTTAATCAAACTAGAAGAGCCACACTCAGACATGTGGAGGAGAGGTGTCCAGGGTATCTTCAATCTTAGCTGGCACATGTGGTTCATAGCAGTGAACTCTAATGAGAGTGAAGTCTGACATTAGTGGAATTAGTTTCCAGCGTTCACTTTGCTTGTGTAGTGTTTTATTTCATGCTTATCATTTTAAATTGCAGTGCAATGGAAAGCATGTTGTGTTTGCAACAAACGAATCTAACAGAGAAAAATGGCTTTACACACATTGTCATATAGTTGACCTCTCTGCTGAATCTTTATTATTAGGTGGAAACTCCAGAACAGCTATGGTAGCCGCCCTCAGTCCTGCAGATATCAACTATGACGAAACTCTCAGCACACTCCGGTAAAGTGGTGTAGATACAGCTAAAAAATTCTATGTAATCATTTGCATTTTAGGTAATTTACATTTTTCAAGCTAAATAAGTTTATTTTGAATTTTAGCTATGCCGACCGAGCAAAGAACATCAAATGCAATGCTGTCATCAATGAGGATCCCAACAATAAGCTGGTGCGTGATCTGAAGGATGAGGTGTCTCGACTGAAGGAGCTGCTCCGTGCCCAGGGCCTGGGAGACATCCTGGACAGTGAGTTTTATGCTGTCACAGTTAGACATTATCTGCAGCCACACGGCATCTACCCTTTCTCTCAGGCCCACCACAAGTCAACATTTTCTGTCTTCATCACTGTCTACTTGCTTTCAGCCATGCAGCTTTGTCTTCATTGCTGTGCTCATATTTGTGCGAAGTACAAAACTAAAAACAAATTTTGTACCATGTATACTATGTAAGTGGAACACTATTACATATTACAAATATTACAACATTTCAGGTTGCTTACTACACATAAGAACTTATAAAAGATATAATTGAAATGTATGCAGTCATATTTGGCTGATTGTGACTTACGACACAAATGGTAATTTAAAGCTACATTAAAATAGCACAGTTCATTTGCGGCACACAAGAGTAATGGCTTATAGCCTAGTCGATTAGAGGCATAATATACCCATTAATAACATCTAATATCTGGGATTGATTAATAACCTGCCCATTAGCGACTGCCTGTTAGATCATGCCTAATGATGTGGCACATAACAAGTCGTTCCATGGCATTTCTTCTCATCCTTGTTATCATTGTCATCCAGCCTTCTTTAAGAAATGTCTGTAACCGTTTCCTCTCATTCTACTGGTGCTGACCTCTGACCCTTTTCATCTTTTCCTGCTTCCCCTCAGTTGATCCTATGGGGGATGATTGCCCGGGAAGTGGAATCAAATGTGTGTATATGTGTGGTAGTCATGCATTGTCTATCACTAATTGCTCTAATTTAACAATAGCTAACATTGCCTATGCCCCCCATAACCTGTATATTAAATCTGCTACAAGCTTTGCATGTAAGTGCTTACAACGCAAAAACTTAATAGAAGGAATCTCACAAATGCAAGGCTCCTCCTGTAGGTGTGCTGAACTGGCAGTGGTTAGCATGCAACTAGGCTAGCATGCTTTGCGCTTGTGTTTCTATTCCTTACAGAATGATGGGGGTGAGGCGGATATTTGTAGCCTCAAGTCCAACTTACTTTTGATCTAGACCATTTAAAAAGTATTACCTTTATACTTGCTTGTCTGTCTTTCCCACCCCCAACGCATTCCGCATAATTTTTTTCTCACTATGTCAGCCCCCTTTGACTCACTTTCTCAAGCTTCTTCTCATGTTATCGATCTTTCTGCTTTTTATTTTCTCTTCTGTTACTAATCGTCCACTGCAGGTGACATTGCTCAAAGCTCAAAAATGGTACTTCTCAGTCCTCATACTGAGACTCTGAGCTACAGACGGAAAGGTGCATAATTTTTGAATTTCTAAGTAGCTACACAGGAGGTGTAGTTATACAGAATAGACTAACTTGATGTGTTGCAATAGTAAGCATTGAATAGTTAGTTTGCAACCTCTGCTCTATACTCTCAAATATCCCTAACACTTCTTCCCTCGTGCTCCTTACTGCTAATGTTCTGTACTAAATGTGCAGAGTGAGATCATACAGTTTGTCCCTTTTTGTGGTAGTTAAGTCGATTAACTCAATACTTGGGTATCGTTACGTTCCTTTTTTATCTCGAATATTAAAAAGCTTATATTTCCATTGTCAGCCTATCTACATACTAGCTTCCAAAATGTCAGCACCTCACAAATCATTTAAACTCTGCATTTATTGGCCATTTGCTTTTGCATTTGCATTTTTTTGCTTCTTGGAGTGCACAGTTACCTCAAAGGTTCTTGAAGCCATTATATTGACACAAGCTGCCTGACCTTTAGTGAGACTGCTGTGAGTGCATGCATGTGTGTGTGTGTGGGTGTGCGGTGAATCAAACTACTCGAATGCGGGCAGTATGTGTCAACGATTCTCATCTGTCCTCCCTCTGGACCCTCTTGTTGTCTTTATGTCTCTCCCATCATGTAGTTGATGCACTGATAGCAGCTCTCACTTGAGTATTCATTGAGATTACATAAAGCAACTAAGTGACGTGTTACTCCTTCATATAATCATACACACTAGAAATGTAGTGCTCTAAGTTAATTCCTCTCCACTTAAATTCCAACCCTGATTAAATAGCTTACTAAAAACTCTCTATTGGAGTACAAGCTGAAATCGAATATATTTTGTCTGGAAGTTTGGAAGAGTTGGAGAAAGCTGTTGAAAACAACCTGGAGTGAGAACTGCTACCGTCTGTAGCTGACCATTATGCTGGGTGTTTTTCTTAACCGTTTGACCTAAAATGTGTGTCTTACATTGGTCTTTCCCCCCTTTGTCCTTTCTTTTTTCCCATCCCCTCTCTTCCTATTTGGTATTTGGTTCCTTCATTTTATGTGGTTCTCCCCCCCCCCCCCCATCCACCTCTTTCTATGTTCTTCTCCTTGTCTCTCTCTCTTGCTGTTGGCTCAGACCTCAAAGACATTCAGAACAATAAGAATAGATACTTGGTAGCTTCAGAGAATCAACGCCCTGGCCATTTCTCCACAGCCCCTATTGGTTCCCTGACAGCCTCTCCATCCTCTGGCTCACTGTGCAGCCAGGGGGGCCTGCAGTCGGTCACCAGCATTCAGGAGCGCATCATGTCCACACCTGGAGGAGAGGAAGCCATTGAAAGACTCAAGGTAAACTAGGCCTGTGTATGTTTTCAGAAGTTTTTTTAGTTACACATATGTGTCTAGTTACAAGAGAAGAATCGTCCCACAGTTATCTGCCCACTCTGCTAAAACTTCCTACTAGTGAATAAAAAAATAGTAGAGTTCTTGGTTTTTTTCTTCTTTCCTCTGTAAATTAGGACTGGAACAGTAAATGATGAAACTTTCCAAAATGCTGAAATATTTGAATAGATTGACACCGCTGTAGCCATGGTAACAATGCCGTTTGTTCTGCCTTATCAATTCAAGCCAAACTAGCAGGTAGAAACTTCTTCAGCCTTCCTTTTCAGCAGAGTTCGGCCTTAAAAACAAAGCAGATCTTTTTATACATAAAAAAGCTTTATGACATAGGAAAGGAATATACCCCAAAGTGACATAAAAATGCTCATATACTTCAATGTCAAGATGGATTTTTTAGTTCACACGAAGCCTTTAATGAAAACACATTTTACCTTTAAGTCCTCATGTGGCCTCAGAGCTTATTGCCTCTCACACATGCAGTACAACTCTCACTCTGCTGATAAGGGAGCGCATAGGATTGTACCAGCTGGCCATGAGGAGCTGCAGTTTCCATGGCAACCATGGTGCCCAGTCTGTCTGTCATCCTGTGACGTCAAGCACCAACGCAGATACAGAGGAAATTGGACCAAAATAGATCCAGTCATGTTGGCTTTATATAGTGAGGAACACAATATTCACAGTCCAGTCCGTGTCTTGAAGGTTACCTTTACAGGTTTAAAAACTGTGCTGTCAGTAATACCCAACATAATAAATCACTGTAATGCTAAGCAGCGATAATAACTATACACTGCATTATTCAGAATTTACATGAACAAATATTACAGAATATGTTAATATCTGGATAATATCGAATATCTCACTGCTTTTCAAACATAACTGGTGTAGGGGCTGTACCTAATGATTCACTTTATCAGTGGGGTATCACTCAAAGTTATTGTATAATTGTCATAATATGCAGCAGCATTGTAAATACAAAGTTTGATTCTCACCAAAAAAGGAAAAAATAACAATTTAAATTCTATTGTTTTTACACGTGTCTGAAGACACTGTTTATGTGTGTGAGTGCATGTGTGTTTGTGTCAGTGCCAGAGAAAGAGCACAGCGGTGTCACTGTGTGTGTGAGCGCATACACATGTGCACAATTACCTTTTCCGTTAAGTTCTGTGACTATCATACAGAAGCTACGCAATTCGTTCATAGTAATCAACCGCTTATAGTGATCGTTTTGGCCCAGGGCAAACGTGTCACAATAAGCAGATTCCACTGTAATAATACGAACCTGATCTAAACATTTCTAAATATGAAGGATCCAGACCGAGTGGCTTCTGATCACAATTCTAATACACTGCTAATAACTGTAAGTATCATCTCACACTGCCTGTGTTTACTCACACTCTGCCTCTTGTGCTTAGGAATCAGAGAAGATCATTGCTGAGCTCAATGAAACCTGGGAAGAGAAACTGAGAAAGACTGAGGCGATCCGCATGGAGAGGTCAGTAGTTGGCTGGCAATGTCTGTTTATTTCCATCTCTCGAGGAGGGAGATGTGTGTCCTACACGTGCCTCCACCCCTCCTTAAATCTAATCTGTCAGTGTTGGACAACCCCCGCCATAGCTCTCTCTGTCTTTTCACACCTCAGTGCTGTCTGTCTAATTTTCTTCACCTATATGTCTTGTTTCCTCCACAGTCATTCTGTCCATTCCCTTTTCCCTTCTCTGCTGTCTCTCTGCTGTCTCACTGCAGAGTCACCCCTTCTAACATCCTTTCTGCCCCTCTATCAACTCATCTGTAGTTGAAGACATCAACCATGTTACTGTCTGTCCAACGAGTCTCAATGGTGCCATTCTCTGTTTGTTATTTTACCACCTATCACTTGCTTTAATGTTAAACACCATGACTTCTCTAACTCTCTCTCACAAAGGTCAGAATATATGCAACATGCTGTGTAAAGACCTTTAATTTTAACGATTATTCCTGAGTTAACAGATGTTTTGTCCTCACTACAGGGAGGCCTTGCTTGCAGAGATGGGTGTGGCAATCCGTGAAGATGGAGGCACCTTGGGCGTATTCTCTCCTAAAAAGGTAGAACAGACAAAAGACGCAAGCTCACACATTGATGTCAAATTTCCCATGGATTGTGGTGATGCACACCCTTCCACCTTAACCTCCTGACTTGTTTTCCATGTTATCTTTTTTTGTCCTGTTTAGTCACAGTTTTTTTCCCTCATCTGTTCACTTTATCATTCTGTCTGTATTTCCTCTCTTTGTCACTTGCTTCCTTCACATACTCAGCTTAGCCATGAAACGCCATTTGATGAGCAGTTTGATTGTTTTCCCACTAAGAAGGTTTGTTTAAGCAGCAGATAAAGCACCTTTCCTGCATTAGATGTAGCCCTGTAAATGACTAGTTATGATTTTAAGTTTATTTATGTCCATGGTCTGGATCTGCTGTTTTTTCAATTTTGGCCACTGTTCCTACTCTCCAGTATCTTCCAGTAGAGGCAGCAGCCTAAATACCAGTAGACGTAGCATGTACTTGTCTGCGAAGCAATAATTGTACCAGTGAGAGAGAGCGAGAGATCCTTTATCGTTTAATCACCAGCTATCACTAGATCAGCTTTGGTTTCAGAAGATTCCTCTCTTTGAAATGAATCCCTCTTTTGGCATGTTTTCACCCCCCACCTTTAATTGTTGCGTGTTCTTCCTTTTTGTCCATACTCATTTGTCATCCTTTTCTCTTCTCTTGTTTCACTCACTGCCGCTCCATTGGTTAGCTTTTTGTTGAGAAACCTTGTGATCTCTATGCAGACTTTAATGGGGTGTTTTCCCCTAAAAAGGTTGGTCTTTGGAAGAGTAGCTGCTAGCATTGTTTGTTAGCTCTGTGATGTATCATAGTCTAGAGGTGTCAGTGTGATCATTTTTGTCTATGTTTACTTAGGAGATCATGTATTACAGATCCCTGTTATCAGCAATGTTAAATATGACACTATGCCCACTTAACATTTCTAATGCTGTACTGCCGAATATTGATGAAAGAAGAGAAATCCTAAAGATGTATTTGTTCTCAACTGTCGACCTCTCATGTCTCATGTGTAGACTCCACATCTGGTTAACCTGAACGAGGATCCTCTCATGTCAGAGTGTCTGCTCTACTACATCAAAGATGGAATTACAAGGTAACTAAAACTTGAATAATGACACTGAAATGTTGCAAAGGATGTGGAAAGGTTTGGAATTCCTCCGAGGCAGGACTCTTTGAAAAACCACACTCTATTTCATTTTTTTCTCTTTTGATGTTTAGCAAGAAAAACATTTAGACCCTTAAAAGACTCACAATCTGTCACTGATCACAATTTTTTTCACTTTCCAAAGTTACTTTCCTTCCCTCTTCATTCTTTTGGCCTCCTCTACAGACTATTTCCCTTGAGTATTGTGTTACAATGGCACCCCAGGGGGATGACAGTGGATGACAGAACCACAGACGAAGTGTCTATAGTGTAGTAGAGAACTGCTCCACTCTCATAAGTTATGGTCTTAAGATTCCAGTTAAGCTTTGACACCAAGTTTTTTGACACCAAGTGTTTTGTCAAATGGCTGCCAATAGAATGAGAGAACAGTGTTCACTTTCTTAAAATGGCCTCTTTGGTTGTTTTAGGGTGGGTCAGGCCGATGCTGAGAGACGGCAGGACATTGTTTTAAGTGGTGCTCATATCAGGGAAGAGCATTGCATCTTCCGCAGTGAGAGGAATGCCAATGGAGATGGTGAGGCACTATATTATGGCTTTGCATGTTGTTTATTCATCAACATTTATATGGATTAAACATCTGGATTCTTATGAATTAAGCTGAGCTCTGCATGAAATGTGTGCATTTTCTGTTGCTAATGAAAACATGTTCCCTAACTGGTAACAATCACAACATTCAAAGGATTAGATGTAAAAAAGCTGATGAAGATTTCAGAATGATCACTGATGATTTGTTGATATGTTTTTGTTGAAGTTATCGTCATGCTGGTACCCTGTGAGGGATCAGAAACCTACGTCAATGGCAAGCGTGTCGAAGATGCAATCCAGCTTCGTTCAGGTACATATCCTATTTTAGAAACAAACATGTACATAATCTATAGATTTAGTATTTGTATTATCTCTGTGGACTGAGGTAAAGGAGATTATTTCTCTCCTAATAACCCTAGAAAACTATTTATAGTGTTTTTATTTTGGGCTTGGACACCCATTTGGATGTTCTACTTTAAATAAAAAATAAGGTAAAGATGGTCAGAGCTGTTTGCTGTTGCTTGTAATATCTTGGTTAACTTCATTCTTTTCACGTTTGCCCCATCTTCTTTCAGGTAACCGTATCATTATGGGAAAGAACCATGTGTTCCGATTCAACCACCCAGAACAGGCCAGAGCCGAAAGGGAGAAGACACCATCTGCTGAAACCCCAGTGGAGCCTGTGGATTGGACCTTTGCTCAGCGAGAACTTCTGGAAAAGCAGGGCATCGACATGAAGCAGGAAATGGAGAAAAGGTATGAATCCATTGGTTTTACTCAGTGAATTTCTAATGGTTTCAATTGTGTGATTGTGCAGTGTATCATAAATTGTGCAATCATGTCATAATATATATTTACCCATTTGTGTAGGCTCACTGAGATGGAGATCTTGTACAAGAAGGAGAAGGAAGAAGCAGACCAACTTCTGGAGCAACAGCGACTGGTGAGTTCAAATAAGCTGGTATTTAATCAAAAGCACTTTGTGAGTAGTATTCAGATTTCTGTAATATTCAATGTTAGAGGTGGCTGACAAGTTAGTAGTAACTACAGTGTGTCTAATAGATGTTAAGCCATAATCTTAATAATTTTTCAAGTTGTAAAGTAACGTAAAGCAGCTTCAGAAGTGGAATTCAAAGTTAATGCATGGTTTGTTTGTGTCCTTTCAATTGGAAAGCTAATCTTTGGTTTTGTATCATAGTTTCACTTGGTCCATTTAAATCTGACTAGTACTAATTCTCACTCTGAGCTCTGACACTTTTGAAATGTGTGTATGTGTGAGAATCACACCTTTACTCCTAGCGCATGTTTGTTCTTCTTGCATGGAAGTTTTTCTGGTTTGAGACAGATGAGCTTTTACTCGCCTTCTTAAGTTGAAATCCTTTGTCTTTTTCAATTTTATTGAGCAAGAATTAGCTTGTAAATCTTTCCCCTTTCCAAATCCCAGATTTCCCTTTTCCTCTGTTTTCTATAGAGGATCTGAATCTTGCAAAACAGCAACTTGCAGCCACAGTTTATTTGATACTAAGATTAAAAATTCATTTAGAACTGACTGAGTATTGGTCAGTATTGAAACACACACCCTTGTCTTTTATAAAGTGACGCTGCTTTTGCAGGGTTCATGTTAATAGCATGTGTTCTTAACTCTCTCAGTGCTGGTTTTGGACTAAGTTGCAGTGTTTGCCATTGAGCTAAGGTGGCTGTTGATTTGCTTGGATTAGATTTCTACTCTAGTTTTCTTGCTCTGTTTATGAGTTTCATCTCTTCAATGCAGTTGCTGACATGTACAATGCATTGTGATAACAATTCCTGCTGTAGTTTTTTGACAGATAGTGACAATGTGGTTTCTCATTGACTTCTTTGGCTACCACTCTTTGCCAGCCTCACCTGGCACCTTGTAGCACACTGAGGTTACAGCTCAACAACAGAGTTATTACAGCTCATAGTTGAATAAGAGAATCTTAGACCTTTCATACTCTGGTGGTATAATGTGCAGAACTACAGGCAAACGGTTCAGACTCCCCAGCAACCTTCAACACCAGCAACGTTCAATTCTAGCCTCAGATACAATATCATTCCCAAGACCTGAATCCTCGGTACATACTGGTTGTGATCTGTAATGTACTTTGCCTACAAAAACAAAATGAGAAACTGCATTATTTTCCAACTAACATCTTTCTTGTAGTGGATTAACACTTACCCTCACTTCTGCCTCTGCTCTCTCTACTGGCTTTCTGATCAACTGCAAGAACACTGTCTTCTAACTCACCGCTAATACTAAAGCCACTCAAACCTTCTGGACTAAAGGGGGAAAGCTCCAAAAAGCCGTCTACTTGCATGCCTCTGTAGCATGTTTTGGGATCCAGCTTTCAAACCAAAAAATAAAAGAAGAGGAATATTAAAAAACAATACAGAAGTTCTCCAATCAGCTACTGTCCTCTATTGATATTTCCTTTCTAATCATGATAGAAATGCTTGATCTTTACTTTTAATATCAATATGCAACATTGGGAACAAAATCGTTAAAGGTGACATACCTATTGTTTTAAGTGAATGTTTCATACATCACTTCATATCCATATTACCACTTTACTGGAGAAAATGAGAGAAAGACAAACTGACAAGAAAGTCAATGGAAGCCACTGTTTGTTGTATTTGTTTGTTTTTCTATCTTTATTTTGAACATAATTCTGAAAATTACACTGCATGTTGCCATATATCTTGTATACATATTATGTATGCAACATTTTATTATTACAGTGTAATAGTCTTCTTCCTTAACCTGAAAATTCTGAACGTCTCTCTAAGCTCAAGTATTATATTGTTATTTAACTTAGACTTCAGTCACAGTTGAAATTCCCATGTTGCATATTTATATCTTTTTATTAATTCTTTTTTCAAGCCATCCTTTCATCTTTTCTTTGATTTCCCATTGTAATTTCTCTTTTTTTGGGAACCATTTGGTTTTTGTCCTGTTTTGTTTTCTTAAGGATGGAGACTCTGATAGTGGGGATGACTCAGATAAGAGGTCTTGTGAGGAGAGCTGGAGACTGATCACTTCCTTGAGGGAAAAGCTGCCCCCCAGCAAGCTGCAAACTATCGTAAGAAAGTGTGGATTACCCAGCAGCGGGAAGAGAAGAGAGCCTGTTAAAATGTACCAGATTCCACAGCGGCGCCGCATCACCAAGGACTCGAAGTGGGTGACCATCTCTGACCTGAAGATCCAAGCGGTCAAAGAAATCTGCTATGAAGTAGCGCTCAATGATTTCCGCCACACAAGGCAAGAAATCGAGGCTCTGGCTATTGTAAAGATGAAGGAGCTTTGTGCTAGCTACAGCAAGAAGGACCCTAACGAGCGGGACTCGTGGAGGGCAGTGGCTCGGGATGTTTGGGACACTGTCGGAGTTGGTGATGAGCGCATTGAGGACGTCATCACCAATGGGACTCGAGCAGGAGGGGCTGTTATGGATGAACTAAAAGTGCACATTGATAAACTTGAGGACATCTTGCACGAGGTGAAGAAACAGAATAACATGAAGGATGAGGAGATCCGTGCTCTCAGGAACAAGATGGTAAAAATGGAAAAGGTCCTTCCGCTCATTACCCCAGAGGGACAAGAAAAGCCTCCCAGCGTTGCTGCCTCTACTTGCACAACCAGAATGCCAAGCCCTAGTGAGGGAAAACCTCCAGTGCCAGAGACGCCTGATATGGAGGATGCAGATTCGCAAATGGGCCAAAGTACAGGAGATGATTCAACCCTAAAGAGAGGCCACATTCGCTGGATGCGTCAAGAGCAGTTACGCCTAAAGAGCCTTCAGCAACAAGAGATCTCCAAACAGCTCCGTCGGCAAACTGGACCACATCGCTTTATACCACCAGAGGACCGCAAGCTGCGCTTCCCCTTCAAAAGTAATCCTAAGCACCGCAACTCATGGAGCCCTGGTACTCACATCATTATCACAGATCAGCAGGTCATTGAGCTAAAGGTGCCCAAAGAAGCTGTTGAGGAAGAGGAAGGAGAAAACCAGGTGGTAGAAGGAGCGCAGTCTAGAGAAAAGATGGCTGCTTCAGTTGTCCAAGTCACTCCTCCATTGCCAAGCCCATCAGTCCAGAACAGGAGCAAAGACTTGGAGCAAGGTTTAAGCCAGAGTCACAGACATAATTATAGGAACAACCAACATCTGCAGCCCCATGAACGAGGTCGCAGCAACTCTTTTAATCACCGCCAGCGGCCCTCTGGCTCCATGGAGTCACTGCAGCAGCCTGAATGCAACAGGAGGCACAGCCAGGTGTTCTACCAGCCCCGTCACCACCAGAACCACCCAGCACATCCCCAGCCACACCATCAGCAGCAGCCGTGCCACTACAATAGCATGATGTATACAGATGGCAGCTTCGGTGGCTACCAGCAGTACCATCACACTGACCATGTCAACCATCCAATCAGCTTCCAGGCACCTCCTCGAATGCGCAGGCAAATGTCTGTCCCTAATCTAAAAGCCAGCAGAGAGACAACAGTCTGAGTAAATGAGGAACCAGTTTCAAATACTTTTAGTAGGCAAGCACATTACAGATCACAACAGGTCAGAGTCATGTGAGCAGCTGAAACTGACTGTGACCTTTGCACTTGATCAGCGTGTTATTGGTTGATCCAAAAATATTGTATGTATTATAGACATTTTATCATCTTTACCATAATATATGCCGTTTTATGAGTTTTTGCTGCATCGTGTTGCGCCGTCATCACTAGCATTAGGAGAACTGTCATAAGGAACTGAAGCCAATAGATAATAAGAGGACTTTTTTCCAGAAGAGACCTGTCATCCCACCTCGTTTAATTTTCAGCATGTGTGACATTTCATCGATCATGCTTTGATTTGCCAAAATTGTCTTCATGGTTGAATTTCTGAGTTTACATTTTGTCATTTTAGTATTGATTGGTCATTAATGTATTCAGCCATTACCGTATGAACACATTGACGTGTTTCATTTTCATTAAGACGTTGTTATTGCGGCCCAAATTACAAATGAAAACAAGTATTTATTTTTTGAAGTCGACTGAACAGACTGAAGTAGTAGTCAAAGAAAGTGCTTTTCAAAAAGTGCCTTTTCATGCACTAGCCTTATTAACCCTGCTGTACATTTACAGTTCAGTATTTTCTTTCCCTTCATTTTTAATCTACTTCCTATGCATATGGTTTCAGCTCAATTCTGTAAAGTAAACTTTATATCTTACTTAACCCAAACTAACTTTTTAGTATTAACATTCTGCCTTATTCAAATTCTTAGTAAGCAGCTTGATTGCTTGATCCCAAACTACTTTCTTCTTTCTTCTCAAATTTGTTTTGAATATGTAACTGCCACATTAATTGTATTACAGTATTTTGCACTTCCTCAAGTCACGGATAAGCTGTATAATCAGTTAATGAATACAATAATTTCAATGTTAAGCAATAAGTTACTCTTTTCTCTAAGTATTTTTAACAACTCACAATTTATATTATCTACTCCTCTCCAGGATGTAATCATTAATAATCCAATGTTTGAATGAATCCTGGTTTTTAGACACTATCAAATTTAAGAACCACTATGCTGAAATGTGGGAGATAGACAAGTCAAGTCAAGAAACATACAATTATATGTTTTGAAAACTTCACTGTAAGCAGTCCAGAATATCTAGAATTATTTCCCCTTCTCTTCCTGTAAAAACACAACCATGAACTGATTTTCATGCTGTATAAAAGTTACATTTTGGGTGCCTGGTTGACTGAGTAAGAACAGAGTTCACAGTGTTTTGGATGAATGTCCTGCAGAGTGTTGCCATGGTTCCCAAAGACTTGCCTTGAAAATGTTGGAGGGAGGACAAAGACTTGAAGTCTTTGCATAATGTTATTCAGGACAAATATCCATGTCAAATGAAATATTGAGGACTGCCTTGTTGTTTTCACTGCTTCAAATGCAGCTCACTCATGTAACCATGATGGATCTATGGTTTATAAAATCAGTTGTCCATGTTAGTTTTTTTTGCTTTAGATAATTTGAATCAGCAGCAAGTCTGCTTGCCGATCTGTCTTTTCCTTGCTGCAGTTTTAGCTTTAAGAGTAGCCGTTAATTATGAAATTTCACTACCAGATTGCCTTTGCGGGACTTTTGAGAAACAGTGACACTCATGGAAGAACTTTTTAAAGACTATCAAAATGTTCAACTTGGGTTCGGAATGATGGAAGTATTTTCTGTTCATCTCTTCGATGCAGTTGCTGACATGTACATGTCGTTTAAGTTTTGGACAGTGTATGTTCGGCCTTATTTTGCCGTAACAAAAACCAAATGATTTGATGACATATGTAAGTCTAGTCTCTCCACCCTACACCTCATGTTTTCATGACTATCTTTGCATGCAATCTCTTCCATTTCTCCAGCTCTGATAAATGCTCCATTAAAGAATGTTATTTAATGTATGTACTGTTGCCGACAGTGACCGGTAAGCTGGATAGAATACAACATCACATGGACAATGTACCCGAAACTGTTCTTGTGAAATATACATATACAGGATGTGTCTGTGTTAGATCTCAGTTTAAAGTGTCTGAGTGTTGTGCGTCTTCTTTTTGAATCTGCAGTATCAAGTGCCTAATTGTGGCTGTGTACCACCAAGTTGTGTTGCTTCCGTAATTATACATTACAAATTGGAACAGTATTGTTCACAGGTTTTAAAAAAAGAGGATATACTGAATCGCTGTGTTTCTGGAGATTTATTTTCAAAGTATGAGTGAAATAAAATTACATGCTCCAAGTGCAGTTATCGGGTATATATGGGTGCTGCTTGTTTTTTGTTTCCAATAAACCAGCGTAGGGACAGAATCAGATCTCTAAATGTGTGTCCGGTCTCAGGCTCGGTTAAATGTAAATACTTAAATTAATAGTTTTTAACTTTTATAACTATACATTTGAAAGTAGTAACTTTTTTAACTTTCCAAGTTGCAGAAGCCTAATTATTAGTCATCTCTTATTATAGTATTGCTTCAATTTAACACTACATCATGGCAATGTTGCAAATATAGGATGGGAATAAAGGCAAGATACTTGGCCTTTACCTTATTGCACTGAAATATCTCATTGAGTTTTGCCTTTGTCAACTGGCATCATTTAATTTATTGGAGAATAATTATATTCACTTGGTTCATTATACTATACAGTGTACAACTGCATTTTTAAGCAGTCAGATATATGCAGTGAAACTGTATTTCCAAGGATTGCTCGGACAGAGAATTTTCAGATGTTAGCTTATCAGGGGGTTTTCAGCAGGGAGGAGGTTAATGACAAATGAAAAGGCTGCATTGTCTTCCCAGAAGACACTGAACAAACAGGATGAGGTCATCGGGACCACAGCTTGTCCTCCTCTCTGATGAGGATGGCGCCCCTCATTGGATTACAGTTGACTCAGCTTCTAGCAGCACCTCCTCTTCACTCCAGCCCTTTCAATCAGAATAAAAGGTGTTTTCATGGAGGTTTCATTTCCAGGACATTGTGTTCTCATTGCAGTGGAAAAAATCTTCAAGAAAGTTTTTCATTCATTGCACCACCTTAAGTCAGGTCACCTTTCATTGTGGTTGATGGACAGTCGTCCATGTTCTCTTTCCTCTTGGTGTTCAGGTTTACGAGAGCAAATTGCAAGAGCTTCAGAAACAGGTGGAGACTCGTTCGCTGATCGCTGAGACACCGGATGAAGAGGAGCTGGAGGAGGAGGAGGAAGAGGAAGGTGTGTCCTGTAAATCTTAAGATCTCTAGATTCTGTTTTCAATACTGCATCATATGTATATATATATATATATATAAAAATGCACTGTATGTTTTCTTCCGCATTTTCTGCACAGAGCCTAAACTATTGGGATGTGCGTATAGTATTTTCTGTCTCATCATCAAAAGAACATAATATCAACTTCACTCAGATCCATTAAAACATGTTATTACTAATAACCCATTCAATGTAATCTGCCAAACTACTTCATAATTAATGTGTGCTCTAATTATTTTAAAAGAAAACATGCTTCTTATTTAATATAAACCGTTTAACTTTCAGTATAAGGGGCCATACTTTTCATACTTTTCATGCTTTAGCTCACCAGTTACAAATCCATTGTTACCAAAGGTAACGTCAACAATTTTTCAGAGCAGAAGTCTCTGTATTTCCTGATTTTCCAACTGCCTCTGGTTTCCAACCTCTTCAGTAGCAGCTTAAGATCTAACTCACAGTTAATTGAGAGGTTGGTCCACCACAGTGAACATTTTGTCTCCTTGAGTGACTCATTGTTATTGAGGAGGAACAAATTAACTTTGTCTGTGTCTGGCCTGAAAATATAGTCTACATACGCTTAGTCATCCCACCACGTCTAAGAAGCTCAGTGTTTACTTGAAATAAGACTATTCTCTGCAGGATAATGAAAGAATTTTTATCTTTTTGTCACAGTTTATTTTGTGGATTTAATTTTGTTTTTAACCATTGCTTGTAAATGAAATACTTAACTGCAGCTGACTGTAAACTCTGATGTTAGACGGTCTCTGAACACATCACAAAAATGTTTTTCAGCACAGACACCGATAGCAAGAAATGTTCATTTAAAATAAAAGTGACAAAAATATTCCACGTGATGGATTACCTTGAAATGCATGAAGTAATGTGGATTTGTTCTTGAGCTAAAACAAGCAGTTCCCCTGGTATGGTTCTTTGTATCATTTTATAGGCAATTACATTGCATTTGTGTGCATGTGTGTGTACACACATCATGGCAACATTAACCCTCTATCCTTTCTCCCTGCAGTGCCGTGGACTCAGCATGAGTTTGAGCTGGCACAGTGGGCTTTTAGGAAGTGGAGGTATCATCAGTTCACCTCCCTCCGTGATCAGCTGTGGGGAAATGCTGTCTACCTGAAGGAGGCCAACGCCATCAGTGTGGAGCTAAAGAAGAAAGTAAGTACATTTCTGTTCATACGGCATACGGGCATGCTGTAGTTTAGCACTGGTTAAACTGGGGATTACTTGTTTTGAGAGTAAAGTAATATGTAAACATTTGACCTGTAAGAATTTTGATGTGGTTAAGTGAAAAACCTAACATGACCCTGTGATGTTAGAAGTAAAGGTGAATAGCAAGCGTTAGTAAAGTATGATGTAAAACCAGTAAACCCTAAATGTGATAGAAATAATGTGATCACCAGGCAGCCTTATCTACAGAAGTGAGTCATCCTGATAGCCTCAGGTTCTGGGATGTTCAACTGTGACGCAAGATGATGCTGACACATGATCTGCTCTCCATATTCCTGATTAAAAACCCACACAGTGTTGTTATTAGAGACACCACATGTTATCAGATTTCTATTCAGTCCAGTGTGATTTGAATAAATGGAGACTCATCATTAAATGTAATATACTGTATGTTGCACAAGCATAAGCCAAACAGTCACGTCACACCCGTGGGGAGTGAGGTGTTGATTCATTGTCACATAAAGGAATTGAGCTTGTTACGAATCAGATGTTCTCATCTGCTGTGGTCAGTCTTCCCCAGCAGGAAACCAGTGTGATTTATGTTTTTGTTCAGTTCCGGGGGTGACATGATTGATACTGGAGATGGATCATCTGTCACAGACATTGTCACATTATTTTTATTTGTCTTTAGGTTTCTTGTGTCTGTTATTTATGACCAGTGTTAAGTGGGTTAACATTTTGCCTCCAGAGGGAGCCGGAAAGCGAGAGGCCACAAAATGGAGGGTGGTTTATTCTTTGTTTGACCTTTCAACCTTGAAATATCTGCAGTAAAATAGAACCATACATGTCTCTAGTCTTTTAACTCAAAAATTGTGGGTGCACCTGTTCTGTAGTCTCACATAACCTGACCTGCACATCTGCACCGCACTGTATTGGTGCTGGAGAACGGTCTGTTTGTATGTTTGTATTTATTTAAACTAACCACAGTTGTCTTGGGTGGTGCTAAACCCATGATGCTGGGATGGTGTCCTTGCAAAACAGTGTCAGGGGGACTTTGTTTTGGAGGAACATTTGTATGTGAGAAACCAAATCATTGTCCAAAAATGCCAGTAAAAGATGTTTGATTGTGCGATTCAAATCTTTGTCAAAACTTGCCATATTTAGTTTGTAGGTTTCTGGCTCAGAGGTTGTTGTTGTTTTCCATAGCAAAGGGGATTTTGAAAACAGTAACTCACTGTAAGGTGAAGAGGAGAAGAGTACCACGTGAGACACAGCCGATGGCGTTGTACCTACCGTCAATATTCAGTAAATCAGACTACAGTTTCCAAGTTTAAAATCAGGATGGATTCTCGTACTTGTTTTGTTGCTGTTGTGTTCCTTGATTTGACTTGATGTCTTCTAAACCTCCCTTTTATTCCTCTCATCTCTTCACATTCTCCAGGTCCAGTTCCAGTTTGTCTTGCTGACTGACACGCTTTATTCGCCGCTGCCCCCTGAGCTCCTGCCCTCAGAGCCGGAGAAAGAACGCGACTCCAGGCCTTTCCCCCGCACCGTGGTGGCTGTAGAGGTTCAAGACCTTAAGAACGGAGCCACGCACTACTGGTCCCTTGATAAACTCAAGTAATCACCAAACCTTCAACTAGTCCTGAATTTATAGCAAACTCTAAAGAGCAGCATTTCGTCTGTTATGCACATTCAGTGCTATAAATTAATAGTCAGGCTGTTGTCAGATCATTTCTCATGACTTCAGTTATGCATCAGACATTAGCCTATCAAAGATATATCAGAACAGACATATATATTGTTGTTTGAGATGCCCTAACATAAAAACTTTTACAAAACAACACATAAAAAGATTATACATGTGAAAAAAGGAAAAGAAGTGGTTTTGTCATTGTTTGTCCAACAAAGAGCGCAATCTCCTCCAAAAATGTCTGAGCAAGATAATTAGAATCAATAAAACAGAGCAAACAATCATCATCAAACCACAAATGGATCAAAAACTTGTACAAGCCTTTATTGAGGGAAAAAAAAACAGATTTATCCATTTCAGAATTTTGTACCCTTTAAAAACCGGTATCTGCATCAGCTCCGAAAGTCCACCCTTCGATCAAGCTTTAACAAAAGATAGAAAAAATGAGGAGTCTCACATCTGTACGTCAAGAAGCTTTCACTTCCCTCCAGCCATTATGTGAGCTGTATGTTCGCTCTCTGCTTCTCATTAATATTGAGTGCACTCTGTCATCATTTGTAGACAGAGGCTGGAGCAGATGAGAGAGATGTATGACCGCGCCGGCGAAATGGCCTCCACTCACCAGGAAGACGGCGAGGGCTCTTTGACAGGAAATGACCCCTTCTATGATCGTTTCCACTGGTTTAAACTAGTGGGGAGGTATGTGATGCAACAAAACACAGCACTCACTGCACATGTTACAGTACTACATCACTGAATATCTTAATTTAAAGATGTTTGCTGGGCTTGTTGTTGCATGTTTCACTTCTAATTCAGCTTTTGAGGCTAAATAATTGATATAACTCAGGGAGCTTTTGTGATCCATTTATTTTAAATGGATATAAACATTTTCCTTCATTTCATTTTTCATTTTCATGGTCAAATTCTGTTGATTCATTTTCTTTCATTAGAGTCACTTAGACCACATGTTTTGGAATCTTCTTTTAGCATATTTGTCTGTTGTTGATTTTTTTTTTTTGTCATGTGTATGATTTGATGTTACCTTTAATTTTGATGTTTTTTATTTTATGTCATGTATTTCTGTATATTCTGTGAAGACCATGTGTTTATTCATTTTATTTGACATCACATTTTTAAGTTGTCTGCTTTTAAAAAAAATTTTTTTTATTAATTACATTATTTTCATTCATCCTTTATATCATTTGGTTCTGTGTGTTGTCATTCTCATGTTGATGCCCTTCCAGTTCACACAAAAGCTTGTTATCAACATAGTGTGTTTGGATCATATGGAGATGTTGTGGCATTTTGCATTTTATCCTGTCGCAGCCAGAATACATTCGATTTATACATTCGTCCTTTTAAATCCTTTTAAAGTGACATTTCTGTTTGGTATAAAATAGTCATGTTTCTATAAACTGCTATGACACCACACAGCTCCTTTAATACCTACTGCTCTTTATGAAATTAATTAATCTGTTACTTTTGCCAAAGCTGAAAGTTGTATTGTTGACATGCTGACATTTGTGAAAAACAATGATATTTACACCAAAGTGAAACATCACATCTGTACATAATGAGCTGTAGTCGCCTGTTTAACTCTTCTCTGCTGCATTGGTACCTTTCCTTGATTCCTGCTACTGTTCCCAAACTACCACCACCCCCCCCAGCTCCCCCATTTTCCACGGCTGCGTCAACGAGCGCCTGGCCGACCGCACGCCCTCACCCACCTTCTCGACCACTGATTCCGAGATCACAGAGATGGCGGATGAGCGCCAGAGCGAGATGTCTGACCTGATCGATGACGAGGCGTTTGTGGACGACACCAGCTCAGATGCAGGCACCGAGGAGGGCTCAGACATCTTCAGCGACGGCCAGGACCCTTTCTACGACCGCTCCCCCTGGTTCATCCTGGTGGGAAGGTTGGTGACCGGCAGTGGCATTTCCCATGTCCTCCACACACGAGCGGGGACAGGAGTTTGGGTGGAGGTTGGATTGGTTTTGTGTCGTTAATCTCAATTCTCAGATGTAAATTTAAACAAATGGGGAAAGTTAATAAGTGTAGGTGATGAATCACAAAATCATACAAATAAAGCATAATTACTGTTTTATAGAACAGGTTGCATGGATGAATTCATGTACTGGATATAACTGAGGTTGCACTCAACAACAGTGTTCAGTAGTATATCTCCGTGAAAGCAGTAGTATATATGCAGGCTACAAGACCTCATTATTTTACAAATAATTTTAGTAGCTGGAAAATCAGAGCCCTGAAAATGTGAGCTAGTACCGTTAGCATATCACTTTATAACTATCAGTAAATCCCTCCTTGGTGAAGGACTAATTTCAGAATCAGATCATGTCGTGCATTCAGAGCAGCTTGGCAGAGATGAAGTGGAGCAGTTTTTAATTTAATGTGATTAGTCATACTTGTGTGCTCACAGGCTCACAGGCTTTTTATGAGTTGCATTTCATTTAGACTCTAGTCTCTAAAATAATGAAAAGCCACCATCCTTCACATTTCTCCACCTCCTCCTCACGTGATGTCTCAGTCCCTGCCTCCATCACAGCTGAGTGTATTAACTCCCATCTATGTGAAGTTACATGTATCTCCTGTTTATGTTCAATAGCTGTCTGCCTTTTTTTTTTTATCCTTTAAGCCTCGTTTGATTTGTTTTTTGGTTTTATTTATTACATTGTGGTTGAATCATTTGTCTCTCTCATCTTTGTTTTTAACATTGTTCTTTGAATGTATTGTAGGTAATATTAACTCAGATGTAGTTGCCAATAATCATACTTGTATTTGTTTTAATGTGATGTCAAGTATGAAGTAAATAATTTGCTGCAGCAGCATTTGAAATCACAGCATTAGACGGCTGAAGCCTCAACACTATAAACATCACAAGAAAGACTATGTGCTGATCTCACAACAAGACGACAGATTCATGCAGGCTTCAAGCCAGCCAGACTCTGCAACGGTCGTAGCTCAGCGTCACCCTGACTGCGTCACAGTGACTTCAGAGATTTTACAGATTGATATCTCTCCTCCGCCTTGGCCTTGAGTTTCCCAGCTCGGGGGGTGGGTAGAGTGGGGGTTGGTGGATGAAGGGTCACCAGGGGTGCAGCAAGACAAATCAAATCCCACAAAACAAAATGTCAGGGAGTGTGTGAGTGAGAGACTAACACTGCCATAACACAACACAATAAAGCACTCTTTTACAGCCTTTACTGCTGCATCCAGTGCGATGTGTCATCACCCTTGTCACGCAGTCTCAAAATAAAGTAGATGGTTTAACCTGCTGCTGATTTCAGTGCCCTGAAGCATGTATGATTTTATTTTCTGTTTTCTGTCCTCATTTAGTTTCTGCCTAATTTAACATAATTGTCACTAATATTTTTCTGAATGTTTTTGTACTCATTAACATGTGCTTAGCTGGGGAATATGTTAATGCACACTTAACGATGTGAGAATGCATATTAAGAAAACTGTCTCTATGCGACTGCAGATGTTCTTCAATAAGTGGATATATCTAATTTGCTTTCAGTAAATTACAAGTAACAGATGACATGGCAGCTATATCAGCCAAAAAAACATCTGTCATAGTGACGTTTCCTGCAGCAGTTTTCCCCTCTGCACCAGAATCAGGTTATCACGTCTCTGCCTTTTGTTTTTATCCTCAGAGCTTTCGTGTACCTGAGCAACCTGCTTTACCCTGTACCACTGGTTCACCGTGTTGCCATAGTAACAGAGAAGGGTGCGGTGCGTGGTTTCTTGCGCGTGGGGGTCCAGGCTATAGCTGGTGAGTAATTAATAAGAGTCTGTAATGAGCAAGAGAGCATTAGGATCTTCATGCAAAGGTTTTATCCTGCAAATTGATGATGATATTTAAAACCTGTATCTTTATTCTGGTTTTTATGGTTTTATAGACATTAACACATACAATTTTCTCCGACCAATAACATTGTTGGTATGTGTTTTTATCACATTTTATGGAATTGAAATTCTCTTTATTTTACTTTTTCAAATTATTATTATTATAGTGTTAGTTATATTTTAAATATTCAATTGTGAAGCACTTCACTAACCTGTATGAAGGTGCTCTACAAATAGATATTGACTTTAAAAGACAAATCTTTCTGAAAGAGACTGTTTATTTAAGTGACTACAAACCTTCAGAAAAATAATACTTATATTTGTGCTTTAAGATATTGTGACACTTATTTGTACCACAATCTTTTTTTATTTTGACATCAGAGTATCTTCTACCAAAACAAATATCTTGATAAATACGTCATATGATTCTAACTTTTATTTTGATATCGGCGCTGCGGGCCACCAACATGGAACCAGACATAAAAGTCCCTCAGATTCTTGGTGTATTCCGTTTGGTGTGCTCGAATTGTAGGCAGCCGTGTCTGTGATCAATCCTGATAAGACGATGCTTTGTCTCTTTGTAGCTGACGAGGAGGCTCCAGACTACGGGTCAGGAGTTAGGCAGTCAGGAACCGCCAAGATTTCTTTTGATGATGAGTACTTCAAAAAGGTGAGCCCCAAGCCAAATCAAAGGAGTCTCAAACTAGAGAAAACACATCTTTGTGTGTGTGTGTGTGTGTGTGTAATATTTGGATTAAAGTCAGCAGGAAAGCAACTGATTGAAGTCTGCATAGGAAGTGTTCTTTGAGTTTTACATTGTTTCATAATTTATTATTTATTTTCAAAAGGGAATTCAAGAAATAGAGAATACCTCTCTCTACCAGCTGCTTGTCTTCCTTCTTCTACTCTTGTGTTTCCTTCTCATCCAATCAGAACGACTTTCCCTCCACGGTTATGACCCGCTCCGGTTTGTCGCTCGAAGAGCTGCGCTTTGTTGAGGGTCAGGGTCAGAGTTCTGAGGTCATCACCCCCTCAGAGGAGCTCAACAGAATCAACGACATGGGTACGGCTGCCAGACCTTCACCTCTCAGCTCATAAATTTCAACCTCTCAGCCCCAAAGGGAAACATGCAGGCAGATGGTCCTGTTGATTGCAGAGGAGATCTTAACATGTTTAGTTATGGAAATGAGACTGATGCAGGTTTACTTGCTCTGTAAAGGAATGTGTACAAAGGCTGTTGAAGGACTGAACAGCAGGATCTGCTCTACAAATCACAAGATTGATAATGTGCAGAAACCAATCTGATTGTATTGTGCGGAACTTAAAATTGATATGCAGATTGAAGAGCACAATCCCATTTTCAGATCATTTTCCTTTCTGGCTTTTTCTTCAGACCTCAAGCTGGGAAACATTCCAGAGACCAAGCTGAATCTCGGTGACGGTCAGGTGGGCCAGCTGGAGGTGGGCAGCATCTTCACCTTCCGTGTCACCGTGCTCCAGGCCAGTGGCATCCTGCCTGAGTATGCCGACATCTTCTGCCAGTTCAAGTGAGTTCACAATGGTTTAAACATGGTTTCTGGTAACTTAAAACTTTATGTATTTGCCCTATGCAGTGTCTAGAGTTGGAATGCAATAGTTAAATATATTAGAATTATAACATTATCACTTAACAAAATGCTAAATCAAGGGACAAATTCAAGACACACTAAATAGCAATATTAGCATTTATAGCATACTATCACATCAAAACAGATTTGGCATTTAGTGTTTTAACTTTGTCTATAAGCAAGATTATGCAAAAACAGCTGAATGGAATATCCACAAAACTTGGTGGAAGGATGTGGTATGAGTCAGGGAAGAACCAATTAAATGTTGGTGCAGTGGGGGCAGATCCAGGCTTTTTTTCTCCCTTTCTTCACCATTTTGAGATAGAGGATTTTTCATTTTTAGTTTGACAGGGCATTTTTCAACAGACAATAATTTATATTTAGGGAACTGCTATCTATGAGGGTGTATATTTTGGGGCAGCTTGATTAAATTTAAGCGGAATGTTGGACCTTGACGAAGGTATGCGCTGTACTGAGTGTCATTCTAGCTGATTTAGTTTTATCAGTGAAGTGCTTTTTTGTGAACTCCACAAATTTCAAAACTGTTCACACTCTCAATGATGAATAAGTTATGAATGAATGATGAATAACTAGAATTTTAGTTTGAGTTAACTGCTACTGGTCGATGAATTTATTTGATTTTGTTGTCTTTTACTTTGTTAATGATGATGCAGATTTTTAGTAAACGCCTTTAATCTTGTTGACAAATACATGTCACACGCTGATGCTCATTTATATTTATCTCCTGAAGTTTCCTGCATCGTCATGATGAAGCATTTTCCACTGAGCCCCTAAAGAATTCCGGCAAAGGAGCTCCTCTGGGCTTTTATCATGTCCAGAATGTGAGTGAACACACACACACACACACACACACACACACACACACACACACACACACACACACAGCTGTACTTTAACAACGTAATGTTAATTAATTTTGACCACGCCTTGTTTTTGCCCTGTTGGAGTAGATTTCAGTGGAGGTCACAGAGTCCTTTATCGAGTACATCAAGACCAAGCCCATTGTGTTTGAAGTGTTTGGTCATTACCAGCAGCACCCACTGCATCTGCACGGTCAGGACCTGATCAGGTGGGTGCTGTTTAAAAAATAAAAAGCATTTCCTCTAATTGAATTTATAGTAACTTTTTTATGATACAAGATTTTCTATATGTTCATAACTCAATTTTGTTTCTTATTTTGTAACAGTCCTCCAACACCATCAAGGAAATACTATCCTATTCCCATGCCTCTTTCTAAACCAGGTAAGGCTCTTAAAGTCGTCACACCATATTACTCAAACAGGAATATCTTTTGACCTGACATCATCATTTCAAACATATTTCTTCTGTTCGTTATGGTTGTAAAAGCATGCCTCATATTTCCTTTCCCTTTTCTTTCACTTTTCGCTTCCTTTGGATTTTTTTGGTCTCGTGTTTAATCACTTTCTCCCACCGTCCATAATCCTCTTACCCACCTCCGCCCTCCCTTCTGCACATCAACTTTTTCCCACATCCCCTCCAATCTTTCTCACCATTCTCCCAACGTAACACAAACCCAGACCATACCCGTAAGATAGAGTTGATCCGCTACTTGATGAGCGGCTATGTCAACGGCACAGTGCTGGACACACTGTCCGAGCACGCCAACGCCCTGGCCTCCTCTGCTGTGGCCAGTCTGGAGGACGAGGCCGACCAACTCTCTCACTTCCCCTTCCTCTCAATGCTGAACGACCGTGTGCTAGTCGTGCCCAGGCACCATGGTTGGTAGAGCGGACAGTGTAGTAGTTTACTGACCGGGCATCAGATGCACCTGGGTTGTAGTGATTAGACTAGTGCTGTGCTCTCTTTGTTCTGTGTGGCTGCATGCAGTAGCAGGATAAAGCTCTGCAGTGGTGATGTGTGCTGCACCTTGCTGCAGGTCTATTCTCTGTAGGTCAGATCAGCTCAGTCCAACCTCCCCCCGTCCCTTACAAACTGGCCTGAGCTGACACCTTGAGGTAAATCTGCTGCTTGAGCTGAATCTTAAGCTATAAAATGAGTATTTATCATAATCACAGAAGATCACTGACATGGCCTTCACAGCATTAATCAGGCTGCAGAGCCTTTAGCTTTATAGGTTCAGCTACATCAGTTTTCATGTGGAGTATTATTCGTTTTAGCCGTAGTCAATGCAGATGAATGTAGTTGTGTGTCTGAGAGATTAGCCAGTTTTAACAGGAACAAAGTATGATGTGTATGATGTGTTAGACACCAAGGTATTGTCAGTGCTGCCGTAATATTTCATTTAGCTCCTCATAACATTTCAAAATGTTCAACTCTTCGTTTTGAATAAGTTTTATTATTACCATGTTTCTGTGGCCTGGGGATTTCAGTAATAATATAAAGTGCATTGTGTATGTGTGTGTGTTTACTTAATGACTGAGTATCATGGTGTGTTCACCTCTCATATCCAGCCTCCATTTAATAATCCAATTCATGTAGTTTAAATATAAAATCGAACTATATTGTTTTCATCCGTCCCCTCTGAATTTCAGGTAAATCCCAGTTTGTCATATTAAGCTTGTGTGTGTGTGTTTCAGTTCCAGCCACCAAGTTGAACACCATCACCAAGTCCAACCTCGGCCAGTGCGTCAGCAAGTACGACCTGCTGGTGTGGTTTGAGATCAGCGAGCTGGAGCCCACTGGAGAGTGAGTTTGATGCATGTTATATTCACACACAACAATTACTCTCTAGTGATCAATGTCCTTCCCATGTAATTTTAGAAAATATGACATGAGAGCAGGTCAAGGAAAATAAACCGTTATACACGTTAAAAAAAAGTTTAAAAGATATATCAGCAGTTACGTTTATTGAGTTTATCTGAGTTGAAAAGCAGTTTCTACCAGAGGCACATTTTAGCAGCATACAAAGTCAATGTAAAGTTTTGGCTTTGAATCAGTATAGTACATTTTTTAGTGTAGTATTCTGTCGGTGGATGTAGTTCATCACATTGTTTGTTGGTTGAAGTGTCCAGGCTCAGTGTGACCTCCCCTCTTCCACAGGTACATCCCAGCTGTTGTGGATCACAGTGGAGGACTGCCCTGCCATGGCACTTACCTACTGCACCAGGTACCAGGAACCAGATCCACACCTTTCCAAAAGTCATACTGTATACACTAGGCACTAGTTCTATAAAGTCAGTATTGTATTCTGCAATGGTTCCGATTTCAAATCAAAGGTGATATCTCATTACTTTTTTAAAAAACCAGTAAAAGATTATTCTACTGAATAAGAAACATTTAGAAGTAGCTGTGTCTACTCTCGTTCTAAACTTCTCTCGTCTTCTGCTGCAGGGGATCCAGCGGAGGATCACGGTTACGCTCATCCATGAGAAGGGTAGCGAGCTCCACTGGAAGGACGTCCGTGAGCTGGTCGTGGGTGAGCAGACTTCACACAGAGACACAGAGAAAACGGTTTCCTCACTGCTGAAGCACATGAAACTGTCCGAGCAGAGGAGGAGAGGATGTTTCTGTGTGATTTCTTCCTCAGTCACACAGAATCAGTAGATTACCTGACAATATTAGACAACACCTTAATTGTCAAGGAGGAAATTACACTGAAGATTCTTTGCAGTTTCTTCAGCAGTGATTTCAGTCTGAGGAGTTTTTACTGTAGCTGTATAGCTGATGGACCAAATAATTACCCCTCACATTTTCAACTGTGAGCTGCTGAGGTTCTTATCCAGAGAGGCTCATGAGGGAGGAGCCAAGTGTTCTGAGTCCTGCGTCTGGACACTGTGACTGTACGACTGTTAATGGACAAACTGGCAGTATAAGTACTGCTACTTAGTAGTGAACACGTTTCTCCATCAGGTGGTCACACTCCATCAAAATACATCTTTAGAGCTGTTGTGGTGACGCGTGCTGTGCTGCTCTGTGTCCCACCAGGTCGCATCAGGAACAAAGCTGAGGTGGACGACAGCGCTGCCGACGCTGTCCTGTCCCTCAACATCATTTCTGCCAAGAACATCAAGTCATCACACAACTCCAACAGGTAGCTGAGACATTCACACACTCCCAGGTCGACTGTAGTAATAAACAGTATGAATTCAATGTAACGATTTATCGGTGCAAAGGGAAGTTTTGTTGCTGATAATGTGCGTATGTTCTGATGGATTCTCAACACAGTTTCGTTAAGATGATTGAGGATAAAGTGTTTTTTCATATTTAACAGACGCAGTTTAATAAATAGTTTCTTAGGATACATTTTAGCCTCATTGATGTATTATGGTCTTCATATAGGCACATTGGAATCCTAGCATGACCATTTCCATTTTCATTGCTGTTTAATTTCCCTGTTAATTTGCTCCATTGTCTCTGTGGCCTGACTCTTTGTGCTTCTCTTTTTTTTCTGTCTGTGAACTCTCTTTTTCCTCCTGCTGCGTCTGGACTCATGATTGTGCTCAGGCTTTCTATTGATAAGGATATTGATAGGTACCAGTGAGCAGAGAACATAAGGTTCTTTCTTTGAAAGAACCGTATGCTTCTTGTTTAGTCCTTTAGATCCATAGAGATAAGTCCTCCAACCGTTTGTGTTGTTTGTTTACGTGTTGCGTTAGATCTGCCTTTTCAATTATCACTTCCTGAAATCAAATCCCATTCCAAAATGTTTCATGGATGAGTAAAGGCCATCCATACGCAACTACACCTCCTATTTAGTATTGTGATTGTGTGACTGTCACTGCAATTTGACACACAATGCTGATGTTATGTGGTACCCAGATTCCAAATGAATGCTTTGGTCTCACTGCATGAGTCTTAATTCAATAACTACAAAGGCTAATGAGGCACCAACTGGGCAGTTTTTGCTCTCTATGGGTAAGAGTGCCCCCTGCTGCCACTAACCGGAACTGTGTAAAAGCTGCCTCAATCAGTCATCTAATAAAGCAGGTAGACAGATCTATTTAAAACTGTGCTGATAGCAGAAAGTCAACAGCAAATTATTGTATTTTCTTTGAGTTACATCTGCAAAATAGTTTGAGGGACCTATCATTGATTATTATTTATATCATATCACAAACATGACACCCAGAACATGTAAAGCCTGTATTCTGCATGCCACTGGCTCGCATATGGCTCGCTACACATTCCTGACAAGCTGTTAACTACAGGGCCTCCTGCTCATGTTGTTTCTATTGTCAGGGTGTCACCTCAGTGCGTTTCCTCACATCTTGTCGTCACCTGGGATGAGTGTGAGGGACACGTCAGTCACTGCACACTGTTCACTGTCAGGAGTTTACATTCGCATCATAAGTAGCAGAATGACATCTGACTCGCTCTGTGGTTAATTTGTAAAAGTACACTTTGGTTCCTCTCGGTCACTGCTGCTGTATCCACACAGATCCTATTCACCTTGTAAAGCACTGACTTTACAGAGGATAAGTGTAACTGAGCATTTTTGGGATTTTCCACTTCAGGACTTTCTACCGCTTCGAGGCTGTGTGGGACAGCTCCCTGCACAACTCCCTCCTGCTTAACCGAGTCACTCCTTATGGAGAGAAGATCTACATGACCTTGTCTGCGTATCTGGAGGTCAGTCACTTCTCCTGCTATGACGTGTTGTCATCATTTAGCTCTATGGCTAACATACTCACTCTGTCTCCACTCTACAGCTTGACCACTGCATCCAGCCTGCTATCATTACCAAAGACATCTGCATGGTCTTCTACTCCCGAGACGCAAAAATCTCTCCTCCCCGTTCCCTCAGGAACCTCTTTGGGAGCGGTTACTCCAAAACTCCTGACTGGTAAGACTGCACGCTGCTGTAGTGTGGCCATTCTACCCAAAGTATCATAATTCTGCCTTAAAATTTTGTGAGAACACAGTGTACTGAAATAAAACTTCCTCTGCTTCATCACAGCAACCGAGTCACTGGCATCTATGAGCTGAGCTTGTGCAAAATGTCTGACACTGGAAGCCCAGGTGAGCCCAGACCAACAGTCAATACATTCTCATGTTTTTTGCTTTTGGTGGTTTGTTTTTACATTACAATTTCTGTGCAGACTTTATCCTAATACAAGTTTTTGTCCCGAGCAGGGATGCAACGGAGGAGGAGGAAGATCCTGGACACATCAGTGGCTTATGTGCGTGGAGAGGAGAACCTGGCCGGCTGGAGGCCCAGAGGAGACAGTCTCATTGTGGAGCACCAATGGGAGCTGGAAAAAATGGAGCAGCTGCACGAGGTCCTTAAACATTGTATTTAACTGTTATCAACTAACATTAGAGGAAAAATAGGGTTGGCTTTCCTACTCTGTGTACCAGTTTCTACTTAAAGAAAAAAGATAGACCTGTACTTCTTTCAAACAAAATCTTCCTTCAGTATTGGTTTAACTTGTGCCTAACCCCCTGCTCCTGCCATTTACTCAGGTGGAGAAGACCCGTCATTTGCTCCTCCTGAGGGAGAAGCTGGGAGAGGCTCCTCCAGTGGGCACAACTCCCACCACCAAGTCCCTGAGCGAGTCGCTTTCCCCGAGCATGAGCTCCGGCACCCTGTCCACCTCCACCTCCATCTCCTCGCAGATCTCCAACACCACCTTTGAAAGCGCCATCACTCCCAGCGAGAGCAGCGGCTACGACTCCGCCGACATAGAGAGCCTGGTGGATCGAGAGAAGGAGCTGGCCACCAAGGTAAGAACAAATTCTGTATCATGAGATATGACAATTTTACTCTTTGCTGCACAGTTACCAACGGGCCTGTCTGTCTCTGCTGTGAACTGATCAGCCACGTCTTTGTTGTGTTGCAGTGCCTGCGCCTCCTGACACACACTTACAACAGTGAATACAACCAGCTGGTCAACAGTATCAGCGACTGCAAGGTGAGAAATCACAGAAAGAAATTTAGAATATAATTTAAAAAGTATTTTACTTTATTTACTTAATAACTGTATTTGTGAAGCTCATTTTTATTTGAGCATCATCCGTGCATTCCAGAAATATGTGCATTTTTTCTCTTGCAGTATTTGCCTTTGTTCGACATATATTTCCTACTATTTTTTCTGCAGCTGTCGGACATCTCACCAATGGGACGTGATCCATCAGTGACCAGCTTCAGCAGCGCCACCCTCACCCCCTCCTCCACCTGTCCCTCTCTGTCTGACTCCCGCTGTGGCTCCTTAGACCAGAAGTAAAACTTTTATTTGATTGATGTTTATTTTTTACAAAGATCCAATAGTGCGTTTGACAGGTTGTTAGCGAGGTGTTAACGTGGTGTATTTTGTTCATAAGGACGCCAGAGAACAGCTCCCGTGCCTCCAGTCCCTCCTGCTCAGACTATGAAAACTTCCCGATGGTCCCCACACTGGAGACCTCGTACTTAGCACGGGCTGGAAAGAACGAGTTCCTCAACTTGGTGCCTGATATTGAAGAAATGAGGCCAGGGTGAGTGCTGTCACGTTTGGTCTTCATCTGTTGTTGTTGTTGTAGTCCTGAAGTTTTTCTTTTCTTTGTGCAGTGATGCCATTTTGTCATTATGAGGCAAATCTTGCAGCCCAAACATAGATAGATAATCCTGTTATCTAAACCAGGAAGAAATTACTGCTGAGCTGGATGATTTCTCGTTCATATTGATCTGATTCTTCTGCTCAAAATAAAATCTTATTTTTACTGATCTCCTTTTTTCCCAGGTCTGTTGTGTCCAAGAAGGGTTTCCTGAGCTTCATGGAGCCGCGCTCCAACTCGTGGGTGAAGCACTTCGTTGTTGTTCGCCGACCCTACGTCTTCATCTACAACAGCGACAAAGACCCAGTGGAGCGGGGCGTCCTCAACCTGTCAACAGCACAGGTGGAATACAGTGAGGACCAGCAGGCCATGCTCAAGGTACAGTTTCAAGAAATCTAATAGGGTTAGCGTTAGCAAAACATTTTACTGGTTTATCGGCAACATGCAAGTCTTTAACAGAAATGTGAAAAAAGAGCTTAACGGCAAACTTAAAGCTCCTTCATGCACTTTGTTTAATAGAAATCCTAAAGAAATGCAACACAGCAGATATTTGCTTTTCCTTTTCAGACTCCCAACACATTTGCCGTGTGCACAAAACACAGAGGAATCCTGCTGCAGGCCAACAACGAGAAAGACATGAACGACTGGCTGTACGCTTTTAATCCTCTGCTAGCAGGGACGATAAGGTAAACACACACTGTCCTCTCACACTGCATTTAACAAGAAACAGCTCTACATCCTTGAGAAATTACATTCTGATCTGATCGCGACTTGAAATCCTGTCGTTCCCACAGATCTAAACTGGCGAGGAGGCGCAGCGGCCTCATAAAGAACTGAAGTGAGTCGACTGGCACACAGGAAACCACGGCTACCGTTCTTTCTGAACAGCCTTTGAACATACCAAGTGTTAACACTTATTAATCATTGTGATTCTTGACGGTTTTCTCTTGTAAGTAGACTTGTGGCTTAAGTCTCCTTTCATGCGACTAAACGTTTCAGTTCCAGAGGAATTTGCCTCCTCTCTCCCTCCAACAACCCTCTGCCAACTCCTCTCTATTTCTCTCCTCCCTTTACCTCCTCCTCAGCTTTTTTGTGTTTTTTTGTTTTGATGACGATGTTCGGGTCTGATTTTTGTTCCGCCTTGTTGTCATTCCCCCAGCTCCCTAACTAGTAGCATGTTGTAATAGTCTACTTGTGTGTGCACGACTCTTCAGAAAATGCTCTTTCTGGCCGCTACTTTTCAGTTTGCCAATCATCTGTAAAAATGAAAAATCGTCTCTATCAGTGTTATTTGTCTCCCTAGAAGAATTTTTCTTTTTGTTTCTTTTTTTCATTAATATGCCCACATGATAACTGTCCTCAGGGGATACCCAGGTTTGCTCCAAAAAATGATATCAGATGATTACAATTAAAACCATGAAGGGAAAATATAGAAATATCTCCTAATGAAGTATCAGTTTACGCTCTACTACTGAAGTCAGGGCTACTTTTAATAAGCATTGCTGCTAATGTATTGATAGGATTTCTTTTCCTCCTCTTTATGAGATCTGCACCAGGTCTCTTCCTAAACTAGACTCTAACTTCCCCTGATCTGCCTCCTAAACAGCCTTTAGAATCTAAATGTGGAAGAAAACTTATCAAGGACTCAGTGAAACATGAGGGCTGCACCGGATTTCCACCGTCATCCATGTGATGTTTAGATCCCACTCCTCAGTCTGTGTACATACACCCCCCCGTCCGTGACTAATTATTTACAATCACGCATTTGTGTCGACATAAATACACACATTGAAGTTGAATTTGTATCTCCACAGTAGAAACATGACGACGGATTGTTCAAACAGGAGTAGATATTAGTCCCTGTCCCTTTTCTTTGCTGTTTCATCTAAAATGAACACAGGGTTTTCCAGGGGAGGATGAGGAGGAGGAGGAAGATGAGCAGTGCTCTGAAGAGAGAATATCATTTGTACATACAGTCTGTTCTGGGATCAGCACAGTAGTTAACTCTCATTTAAGACATTCCTCTCAGCTCCTCGAGCTCCTGGCAGTTTTTCTTACACTGTTTAGCCTCAGACCTCAAGAGAGTCTCAACATTTTATTTCACCTTCGCAAACGTGACGCCGAAGACAAAACCAAAATGTAGTGAAGCGGTGGGAAGAAGTGAGAAGGAGTGCAAAGTTGCGGTGCTTAAGCCTTGACCACAGTGGTTAGTGGACGAAGCTGCGAGCGTACAGCCTGCAGGACAGATAACGATCCAGTCGACCCCATGACTCCCCTCACTGTCACACCAGTGTCGGCTGAATCCTCTGTAGAGTCAAGAACTTACTGTTCAGAGCCACCGCAGCTCATCACATGTTCATTTTCTATTTGTGTTCTTAAATCAAACCTCTTAACACATCTAACATTCACTGGGTTGACATTCCATTTTTTAAATTATTATTATTAACATTTTTTCTATTATGCTTTTAACCATTCCATAGCGGCGTTTATTGATATGAAATGTTACAGAGGGCATTTATTTCTTAACTTTTAACCAAGGATCATGTTTGTTGAACCTTATTTTGCACATTAACACATATCTATAGCAAGAAGAGGGCAGATCCCACGTGTTGAGTCCAGGGTTATTTCTGAGTATCAGGAACACTGAGAAGGGCACATATCAAGGCTGCACTGGATAGCTGCTTTCCAAAGGGTTTACTAGACAGAAATGAAAGAAGAGATGTTAAAGGGAAGACATAAACTCAAAAGTTTTATTTCTGATATTCTTTATGAAAATATTTGCTCTGTAAATCGTCGTACAGACGTTATGACATTTTTTGGTGCCTCTGTCTCTACATATGCTGGAAGAGTGATGGGTACATGGGCGTTGATAAACTCCGGCCAGCCAACCGGTAGTTTGCCGTCTGTATCATATGAAAGGAACATGGTCAAATGTATTGAAACAGAGGAACCTGTTGCTGTTACAAGTTGAATTATTGGTGATGCAGCTGCTGTACAAAGACTGAACAAGAAAACTGCCCTCAGGTCAGACAACCCGCTGGTCAGAAAAACTAAATCCTGTTGGACTGTTTCTGAAAAAATATTTTCTGTCTGTCTAAGAAGCCACATAAAAAATCGGACTCAGAAACTTTCTGACGCACCTCACGTTAACCTCCAGACCCTCAAAGTTAGTGATAACATGTCAGAGCAAACATTTTCACTCTCATTCACAGAGGTACATTATTTTGGGATTGTGTATTTATTGTTTGCAATGTATATATTAGTTTGCAGCTCTTTGCACATATGAATAAAAACTGATCAAACAGAGTCTGCACGGTTTAGTTGCTCTTCTCAGAATGAACCAGAGGATGATGTTGGCCTCTTCCAGCCTGAAGTGGGAGAGAGTTGAATGTACTTTTTTCTCCATCTTTTAAAGAAAAGGAAAAAAAGAGAACTAAGATATAACTCGCTGCTTCCCCGTCAGCGGGGGCGAGTTACATCAGTGCTTCCTCTTGATTAGAAAGTGGTTTGAGTGAAAGTCTGAGTTTTGATTTGAAGAATATTTACTCACTGCTCACGCTAGCCAGCCGCCTGAATTCTAACAAAGATAAACGTTGGTTTTTATCTCATTTTAATTTTTTTCTAATATCAGGGAATATAATACAAAGGTAGCTGTAGTGACATCTAAAATGACAGTATACTATTGTGTGTGCTGGTGTCTTTCTCCACCTCAACACTTTTTATTTTCCGTTGATGCCTTTCAAACAAAACTAGCCATGATATATATTTTTTTCCATCTTCCCCTCTGACAATTAATATCAGTTAAATAACTGCGTTCCCTTTGGATTTGTTCACTACAAGAAGACGAGACAAAACAAACACCAACAAACAGTGACGTTAACACTGTACATTATTTGTCAGACCGGTTTCATTTTCATACTTATTTTGTAAATATCTGTGTTGTATGGAGCTTGAATTAAAATGTAAATATGTTGACTGTATTTGTAATAATTATAATCCATTCGCTGTATAGCATAGATGTGTCATGCAGATATCCTAATTCTGTGTATGGTAACCTAACACCATTGAACTGTTTTGTGAATGAGGCAACAATAAAAGTGCAAACTGTGCATTAGCAGAACGCTGCCCGTTGGTCCTGTCTCCTCTTTGAGCACAGTTTTCACATGTTCATCAACATCGACCAGATACTGAAGCTCATTTCTGTCACAAATGTTTGCAATGAGAAATTTAAAATACAATCAAACTTATCTAAACCATTGCAAGTCAAAATTATGAGACAGTAAATGTTGATTTCAAATCCTTTAGGTTTAAACATGTTTAGCTTGATGATGAGAAATGTTCTTACTCTAATGGTATTACACCTACGGTTTGATTTAGAAAGTCACACTGACATTAATCTCATAATTGGGAATTAGACCTCACTTTCTTTTCATCTTTTTAAATTATTAAGTAAATGTTTGTAATCTTAGTATCTCATAACTTTATTTGACAAGTTTACAAGTTAAATTCTGTCAGCATCATACCTACTGCTGGTTGGTCTGTCCTGTTTGACCTCAGATCTGTCTGAGGTAATGGAAATAAAAGCAGATCAGTTGAGTATTGCCTTTCAGCACAAAACAGAAATAACCTGATTATCCACTTCGCCTGCTTGGCTTTCAGTCCATCTTTAACTATTAGAATGGACTCTGCATTTTACTCTGTAGCAAAGTGCCCTGGGTGTAAGTCTACATTTGTGTATTTAAGCAATTTAAATAGAAAGTCTCAATAGTCTTCATTAATAAACATCTACTAACCCCATGCATTATTTAACAAAATTCTGGTTAAAATGTATTTCTGAAAATGTCAATGGTGGATCTTAAATCTTTTATTGTGGCTAAAATATTAGTATATACATTTAAAACCAATATTTTATTGTGGTATATTATGTAGTTTATAATATAGTTTTCTCAAAATGTACAACACTTACCTCTCTCTCGATTTTGGACGGACAGTCATGGATTAATTTACTGATGACCTGGTAATAATTAACTTGCAGACATCATGTGAGAAGGAGCCCCTAATATTAACATTAATATTATTATTAAGAAATACAATTAGCTGAGTCGTTGATTTATCAATTGACAGAATTGTCTTTGACTATTTTATAATGTATGTCAAACCTTTTAGTAAGTTTTCAGTGAATCAGATATTCTGAGCCCAGCCTCTGAGATGAGAGCGTTGGCTGCTGCTCCTCTGGTACATGTCATTAGAGACATTTAGAGACATCACATATGCTTCTGCTAATGGTAGATACATTTTGTTTGATAAACTTAACAATTACTCACAAAATAAGCAGCAGAATATACATATATATATATATATATATAACATTGCTCATTGTGATGTAGTAGTTGTACAGAGCAGCAGAAATGAAGTACAGAAAGTACAGAAAGCTCAGGATTCTGCTAAAGTACAGTAGTAGAGTAAATACAGTTGACTGATAACACCTTTATCTAATCTATCGATTATTAAACTTCTGAAATGGCAACTGTTCAAATGTGGGTGTGCGCTGACGTGTTACGAGTGACAGCTGAAGTGACCAATGGGAGCACGGAAACCTCTGCTCAGGCTTCTGGACCAATCGCAGCTTGCGCCAAGCATCGCTTCAGTTTACCGAGCGTCCTGTGATTGGTGGATCCTCTCCAGTGGGCGTGTCCGCACCTGTCCCTGCCCCCGTCAGAGAAGGAGGAAGTGAGCAGCTGAGGTGGATCAGCGCGTGAGCTGGACTGTCACTCGGACACTTTGACGAACTTCACGGAGGCTTTCCCCGCAGAGCAACATGGCTGAGTAAGGACTGCGTGCTTCTCCACACCGGGAGGGAGCTGCAGGGGCCGGAGCTCATGCTCTGGCTTCAATAACCGCGGAGCTTCTTGTCTTTATTTGAATTTTTTCCGAGTAGTCCTCCTCCGAACGGAGTGGTTAGCTTGTTAGCTAGCCGAGCAGCTTCAATGCTCAGTAGAAATGAATGTGAATTTTCTTTTCCTCGCTGTTAAAATACACTAAATATGAACATTACTGTGGGTTTCAATGGCTTCCTAACCTAACGAGCGTTGTTGCGTATATATATCTATATATAGTCTGACACCAGATGCTCATCTCGGTCAGTGAACCTGGTTTTCGTGTCTCTTGTTTCCACAGAGCTGACATCGCATTGATCGGCCTGGCTGTCATGGGCCAGAACCTCATCATGAACATGAACGATCATGGCTTTGTGGTAAGACGAAGACTTCATGTGTTAATTACAGTAACTGAGGGCATGCACTCATGTTACTCAAGTATTTTTTCACGCTACTTCTACTGCAGTACATGTCAGAGTGAAGTATTGTACTTTTTAACCCACTGCATCTATTGGACAGTTATATGAAGGTACTAGATACTTTGCTGGTTAAGATCAAATTATCCAGATAATCACAGATCTATTGCAATGTCCAATAACTTAAGTGAATCAGTTCTTTCTTTTCTCTCTCTTTTCTCTTGTCTTTTTATTTATCAGCTCACAAACTCTCAGACAGTACAAAACTATATTAATTGGTAGGACATGTATGGTGGCACATCAGTAATAACAATTAAAGGATTTTTAGTACTTTTACCAGTATGGTTTATTTCCACAACCACTGCCAGTAAAGCTTATTCCACTTTCTGCTTTTATTTTATTTCGTCTCCTACAGGTCTGTGCCTACAACCGAACTGTGTCCAAGGTGCACGACTTCCTGCAGAACGAGGCCAAAGGCTCCAAGGTGATCGGAGCCGAGTCTCTGGAGGACATGGTGTCCAAGCTGAAGAAGCCCAGGAGGATCATCCTGCTGGTCAAGGCAGGACAGGCTGTCGATGACTTTATCGACAAACTGGTCAGTAATTTGTGTTAAATGTTTTATATTTTGTCATGCTGAGTTAAAATGATTTACTTTAAGTGACATTTGTTCATCTTCAGGTTCCTCTCCTCGAGGCAGGTGATATCATCATCGACGGTGGCAACTCTGAATACAGGGACACAACCGTAAGCAGATGTCGATCACTGCTTAGCAGAACATGTTGATAATTAATAGACAATATGCTCATATTATTTGTTTTTCTCTGTCATACAGCGGAGGTGTAAGAGTATGAAAGAGAAGGACTTGCTGTTTGTCGGTAGTGGAGTCAGTGGTGGAGAGGAAGGGGCACGTTATGGACCCTCACTCATGCCAGGAGGACATAAAGAGGCCTGGTCAGTCATCACAAACTCACACTTTCAGCAGCATGTTAGAGGTTGGATGTAGAGAACACCATGAACATAGTAATCCATTATTCATCCATTTCTGTGTGTAGGTTAATCGATTTGAACACTAACTTCTGCTTTCGTTTTAAGGCCACACATAAAAGACATCTTCCAGAGCATCGCTGCCAAGGTTGGAACAGGGGAGCCTTGTTGTGACTGGGTGAGTGGAGGATTTTTTAAAATGCATAATGCTTATTACTATCTAGAGTTGTAAGAATGTGGAGTAGCTATTTCTATGCGGTCATTTCACAAAAACAATTCTATTGCTTCTGCAGGTTGGAGATGACGGTGCAGGTCATTTTGTGAAAATGGTCCATAATGGCATTGAGTACGGTGACATGCAGCTGATTTGTGAGGCCTATCATCTGATGAAGGATGTTCTGGGTATGAACCATGATGAGATGGCAGAGGTGAGTTTGTTATCGCTGTATGATGTAACCTTCACAGTGTATCAGCTGTGTAAAATCAATTGTTACATTCAAAATGGTGGAATTGATTCCATAATCTTTTCACATGGTCTTAGGCTTTCAACAGTTGGAACAAGACAGAGTTGGACTCCTTCCTGATCGAGATCACGGCCAACATCCTCAAATACAGGGACACTGATGGCACACCTCTGCTGCCCAAGATCCGAGACAGTGCCGGACAGAAAGGAACAGGGAAGTGGACGGCCATTTCCGCCCTGGAATACGGCACACCTGTCACTTTGATCGGTAAGAGGAAAAAAAAAAAAAGATTGTTGACAAGGAAGTATCTTCCTTCTGCTGCTTTCAGTAAACCGGGTTTGTCATGATGACATGGCAAAATGTATTACGTCACAGTTAGGTTAAGGTTTCAACATGGCGTTGTATTATTTAGAGGGCAGTGGGGCAGATGATCAGAGATGCTGGGCTAATGTTAACTTGTCTGTTAGTTAACACACACACAGTGATTAGTGAGTCTCTTCCAGCGAAGGGGATCGATATGTGGTGCCTCTAAGAAGATTGAAAGCTTTTCTAGTGGTCTGGTTATCTCAGGTGACATAAGGGGGATTTGGCTTTGGTCTTTGCTCTGACTGTATGACATTCTGTTTCACAACCAGCCGTGGAGGTCAGGATGCAAGATTAATAATCCTCAGTCATCAGATCAGCCCTGCAGAGTCCCTCTAAACAGACACCTGTTAGAGTGCAGATTACAAGTTAAAAGATATTGATGACAGACTTTCTGTAAAAGTCCACTAATGTAGAAATGTTGCAGGGTCTGCCCTTCATTAAAAGCCTGTAACTCTTGTTCAGATTTGATGTTTTAAAATAATTTGCTCAATCCCTGTCAGTGCAGGAGATCCTCTTGTGATAATAGTGACACACAGAACAATAGGCTTCATTGTGTGTAATCTGAGTCAGTGTGGTGCAGTGTGCCCGCCCGGTACCGTCTGCACGACTGGATCTGTGCCTTTCACAGGGGATAACATTCCTCACCAGGACGGTTCACTGGACACATTTTCTCTTGATCCCTCTCTCTCTCTCAGTCTCTGATTTCCAGTGGGTTGCATCATGTGGCTGCTCAGTTTTAGCAAGTCATGCTTACTCAACACATTTCCCCTGACACAGAGGCAATGTAATTCTCATTTTTAATGTGGCACCTGGCAAGCCCTGCTTTTACAACAGTATTATTACTGCAGATCTTTGGGCATTTTGTTTTTCTACATTTGGTTTCTGCAGTGTGGCTGGGGAATGGAATTGCTCAGCATTTTTCTATTAAATAATGTTTTAAGATATTTCAGAAAATCTAAATGAGTGTTTACAGACTCATATTTTTGTATTGAGAATGCTCCCTGTTTTTCTTATGCAGA